TTTTTTTTTTTACTTTAAACCGCAAAAACATTTCATTACACCAAATACACAAAATGATTATTTTTTTAGCAGCATCATATGACCCCTTTAAGAATATAAACCATCCAACAGGGCTGCAAAATAGGCTTGTGTCGATAGACGACAGTATCCTGTATGGCTGATGCCTTCGACGATATCAAGAAGATTATTATTATTATCAGGCTAGTATTATCATCTAATTAATATTAGGGCTTATTTGTTCCATCATATTTCTTTTTACACGTTTTTACAGTGTTGCGAGTAATTATCAATCACACACGATTCTGTTGAGTTTATGAAAGCAATGGCCAATCAGAGGTGTTCAGATGAGTCATCGCTGAAACACTGGCGTTTTGTTGTTTATTGCGTGCACTCGCTGACTGAATTCTGCTCTCCCGTGAATTTTCTCATCATAAACAACAAAGTGCAGATGTATGTGCGATGTAAGTATAAGAGATTTATTCATCATACAGTGTAGATAGCTTCACTGATTTTAATGGGAGTGTTTTTAAAATGCTAGACTGAAGTCAGTGATGATGTTCTTTGATCATGTAAATGTCCTTTGCTTGTTTTCTGTAGCTGAGGAAATGTAAGAATTATAATTAGTAATTTTCAATGTTTGTATTAAATTGTTATCATGTTAAATACAAATTCGTTCATATTAAAAAAATATTTATGACATGACATCCATATGATACTTGCCTAAAAATATATCATGTGTAGTTAATAGATTACAGTAACATTAGGCTGCTTTTAGCCTTACCCTGGAGTTGGTTCACTCTCTGGCTATGAAACTATGCAAGTAAATAATTAAATAAATTAGCATGATAATATCGTGTATCGGCGATCTTAAAGGCTGACGATAGGATAATATGAAAAGAGCATATCGCCCAACACTACTGCAAAATATGTACTATAACTGATGACTAGCAAGCACATGATACACTCTGTGATAATGTCTCAATCACAAATAATTCTTGAACTTGATATGTCAAATATCTCACCCAGCCCCCCACCCCCAATAAAAACCACTTGAAACAAATATGATTCCTAACCTTTTATTTATACAACATTTCATTTTAAATTTTGTCAAGAGTCAAGAGTTTGGACACAATACTATTTTTTATGTTTTTTGAAAGAAGTCTCATATGCTCATCAAGCCTGCATTTATTTGATCAAAAATACAGGAAAAAACCTGTCATCATAATATTATGAAACATTATTACAATTTAAAATAATGGTTTTCTATTTTACTATATTTTTAAAAAATATAATATTTTTCTGTAATGCAAAGCAGAATTTCCATTAGTCATTACTTTCAGTGTTACATGATCCTTCAGAAATCATTCTAATATGCTGATTTATTATCAATGTTGGAAACAGTTGTTCAGCTTAATATTTATTTAATAACCTGTGATACTTTTTTCAGGATTTTTTGATGATTAAAAAGTTATTTTTTTAACAATATGAGTCTTTACTATCACTTTTTTATCAATTTAACACATCCTTGCTGCATAATACGGTTGTTGTTTTTTCTCTTTCTGTATTTTGATCAAATAAATGCAGGCTCGATGAGCATAAGAGACTTCTTTCAAAAACATTAAAAATAGTAATGTGTCCAAACTTTTGACCGGTACTCTATGTACATATTAAAATTTATCTAAGGTAATCTCTTTTTTGTTTGTTGTGGATTGTTATTATAGCCGTGATATTATTAGTAGTAGTAGTAGTAGTATTAGTAGTAGTAGTAGTAGTAGTAGTAAATTGCAGCAATTTGTTCAGTAATTTTTTATTGTGCTTTTATCATTTTTTCCTAGCTGGGTATGGGCAGGATTTTCCCCTAACATTTAATCAATATTGACTACAGCATATTTACCTTAAATATGCACTAAAAATCAAGTGGAAGTGAAAGAGATGATCACTACCTAGCATGAAAGAAGTTAATTTCTAGATAGTTGAAACTGAAATTATAAGTGTTATGTTAGAGCAGTAATGCAATCATCAGCAGAATTACACACATCTGAGGTGCTTTTTTGAAACATTAAAAAATGTTCTAGTTTGTTTGCTTTTTGACTTTGAATTCAAACATTTTTGCTTTTCATTGTATGTGCAAATTCAAAGTATCGCGTCTGGGGTCGTCAACGGCACTCGCGCTCTTTTAAACTCATAATAAACCGGTGAAGATCTGCACAGAAATGACACTGATCGACAGAACAAGTTTATATTTAGAATACATTGTAATCTCTCTAAAATAGATGACGACAACTCACACCTGCATTAGCAGCTGTACTTCTTTGCGTGCCTATTTAGCCATTTGCTTCGCAGCACCTGAAGTATGTGTTCAGAAGACGGGACCCGCTACATTAATTGGTTTAATTGCAGGTAAGTGATAATTTAACTATATCCAATGAACAATGAGGCTAGTATTTTGCTATAGACTAGAGTATAGGGGATGTTACGGTTATGGAGGCCTCAAAGCCTGAGGCCCTAGGCAACTGCACCAGCCCTGATATCAGGCTAAAATATACAAAGGAGCATAAGCAGAGTATAAGGAGCATAAGAAGCCTGTAAGATTTTTTTTAAGAGAGAGAGAAGGAGAGAAATTATGAAAATTAGGATGCAGTTTCTCTACATGGCAAAAATATGAATTTTTAACTTGTTTCCCAGTAAATTATTCCAACCTTAAAACAAGATATATTTATGTTAAGCAAAACAACATATACCTTTTTTTCAATATAATTCAAGATATATTATCTGTGAATTCTGCTTCAAGTAAATTCATATTGTTTAAAAAAAAGTACATGTTGTTATGGCTAAATGAGACAAACATACTGATTATGAAAATGATTTTTTTGCAGTGCAGACCAGGCTAAATTATAGATTAATATTAACAAAATATTAAGTGTATTTTGTTTTGTTCCATTTGCAGACTTTCCACTTGTTTTAAACATAAAGCTCGCTAAATGCATTATTGTTAAATAAAACTGTATGGTTATTTTCTAAAAGCCATTTTTGGCATAGTATATTTGAAAATGTATGACTATGCTGGAAGTAACTGTTCTTTAGAGGACTGATGTGGAGAGAAGTACAAAAATGTGTGTATTGCTAAGCTTATATAATTTACTTGAGTCATAGCAAATGTGAAAAATAAAGTTGAACAGCATGAAGAATAGAGAGATTATAAAAAAGACATACAATGTAAGTACAAGACAAATGCTAAATTCTAAAGTAGTACAGAGCTGACGGTGTTAAAAGTCACAAGAAAATACCAGTTTTAGAGAAAATAAATATAGTATTTCCATTAAAACAAATTATTTACTTCCCTCATTTAATATTTATAGAAAATAACCACAACCCATTATAACCTAGAGAAACAATGCCTGTTCAGTTAGTAGCATTCTGTACGCTTTCCTCTGTAGGGGTTATTACTTTAGAATGGTTCAATGAATTTCCAGTGACACACCTAACCAAGAACAAGCACCAATCTGTTTCAGCACTGCTCAGTAACCTCAGAAATCGAAGAAAAGGCAAGACAGAAAGGCAAACGTTACAAACTACATTGCAGCTGGCTAATGGCGCAGTGCCCCTTTCAATTACCTGCTCAGTCTCCTTGGGCAGTCACTGCTGTGCCGATTACAGCACACACCAAAAGCCATGTCCTCTAAATACACAAGGCAGGACATTACACTATAAAAGCACAAATGTAATGCTTATAAATCTAACCATCAAGGGTAGTGAGCACCCTAATGAATCCCTAGCTCTTTCTACTAAAACTGATTTAGAGTTACATATAAAGGAGCCAAAATACAGAACGTGTTGACCTCCAGACAGTTTGGAGAAACACAAGAGGACTTTGACACAAGAGAGTTGCATCAGCAGAAAGATGAACCACGGGTGCCAAAGAACACTTAAAAAATACTATTACTGTCAAAGATGAAGCACAGCAAGTTGACCACATGACCACATATGGCTTGGGACATTTACGGATCCTATGCCTCATATTTAATCTTATCTTTCCCCATTAAAAGTCTCATTACATAACTAAATAAATGTTTAAAAACACCATCCTCAAACATCTTTGCCTGTATAAAAACAATAATTTTCATTTTAAATTTCATAAACTATTAAGAGAAATTATGAGGAATTAATTAAAACCATAAAAAATGTTCCTAAAAGAAATGTTAACATTAACAATTAAAAACTTATTTTATTTCAGCTAGTTGCCAAGGAATTATCTAAATTTCATTTAATTTAACTTGATGTAGACATATAAAAAACCCTAAGAAAAATGACAACAAAATTACTACAACCTTAACTAAAATTAAAAATCAAATATTAAAAAATACTGTAATAATATCCCAATGATACTAAAACAACACTCAGAGAAACTATATTATATAACTATTTTCTGTCTAATTCCATTGGCAAGTTTGAATGATTTATCTTACTAAATTTACTGAAAACCCAATGAAATCATGCAAAGTAATATTATATTTAAGGTCCAAGACTAAATTCATATACAGTTTGGCTATATTTTATCTTGTTTAAAGGATGTTTTCACTGGAAAACAAGACCCAGATACTGCTGACGTAAATGTCACATGTACAAGAGGCGTTATGATGGGGAATATGGAGTGTTATTATTTCAGCCTGCTTGAACCTGATATCTGATCAGAGCTACTGATTGTATCATGGGAAGTCGTTTTGATGCTCTGTTTGGTGCCATTGTTGTTATTGTTCTGCTTTTGCTCACTATCTCTGCATGACAGCTCGGGCCCAGCATCTGGAATTTTGTCTTGATTGTAAGCCAAAAAGTATATTACTGGCACAACATGTCATTTTGAATCTTTTGAATAGTGCCATTGGTAAGACTGATCTAAATAGCTGTCGTTTGTCATTTTTATTATATTCAAAACACAGTTTAACTAAAAAATGAGCCCAGGACTCTTTACAGAGGTACCAAGAGTGACTGATTTTTCTTACCTGCTCCAGGAGTCGTCTCTTCTTCTTTGTAGTGCTCATCGTGCCACTGCATGGTTAGGTGGTAACTGAGCATCACCTCCCACAAGGCCTTGCAGAGATCGGTCAAGCAGGGGATGTAGCTGTCTGTGGTAATGTGCTGGGGTGAGAAAAAGAGAAGAATATATATATATATATTTATGTATCACCATCAATACTTTACACTACAGAACCAGAGTTACTGCAAGGCTTATTTGTAAGTTTACCAATGGACTCTGTAAAATAGGCCCCACCACAGAGGCCTTTCAGCTTCTGATTGTCTATTGCCAAACATTTACCTAATCTAATTTACTGAAGCTTTACTTAGGATACAATTGAGGTCACTGCATAGGAACTCCAAATATGTGAACAACATTTATCAGGGGTTAAAGCAAAACAAAATCCTGAATTTTTTTTTTCAGGGGCGGGGCAGCACATGCAAAGCATGCAACAACTGTGGCAACTTTAACATTTGAAAGGATACTATGGCAAAGTTATTGCTTTCCTTATTCAAACTTTTTTTTCATGAATATGTGGTTGACCTGAAGAATGAAAGCTATATCATACACTTGGAAAATGATGAGCTACATCACTGCTTATCGACACTAGGGGTGTGACAATACACTTAGCTCATGAGATGAGACAAAATACAAATACTTAGTTCACTAGAACGTAACAATATTTGAATACTATTTTTAAGAAATTTTCAATGACAAAATATTTGTCTTTTAATTACAAAAAGTAAACCAATGCAGTTGTATTTTGAAATATTTTAACTAATCTAGGGCTGTAACTAATGATTATTTTGGTAATCAAGTAATTTACTGATTATTTTGACAACTGAGTAATCTGATATATTTTAGTAACACAAATAGACCTAAGTGAAAACCAGGTTTTAGTATGACTCACTGTTAAAATACATAATGTAATATGCCTATACATAATATGAACATAACCAACTTAAGTACATTATGTACTATAACGTACATGTATTATAACAAATATTTGCAGAGGGCGCCAACGGCCTGGTGACGTTTCACTTTACAGCGTGAGTCAACGATGTTTAATCCATTAAATGATGAAATCCATTACATTTTAATATTTGGCCACATGCAAACTCAGAAACTTTTATTTTGAATTTGCGATATACAATAAATTATCTAGAAATATGATGTATTCTCCTGTGTTGACAAATAAATGATTTACGTTACAAATCTATTGAGAAAATGCACACTTTTCCCAGATGAACGTTAAGCCATTCAAATTCACAGCATATACAGAGGAAGAGTTTAGCACCTTTCATACATACAGTCTTTACTGGTAAATTACCGGTAAGTTACCATTAAGAGATCATGTGTGGACAGGGCCTTTTCAAAAACCCCGGTAAATTTGTTCTGGCAATCATATCATTCTTATGGAGATGACGTGGTTACTCTGAGCTGTTTACAAAGCTCCGCTGCTTTTTAATTAGTTTTTATATGTAATATGCGCTAGATGGACATCTTTGAACATTGCGCCTCGCAGCTTTTTCAACGTGTCGCGCTTCTCCATTCATCAGGTCTGCGACTCTGCAATTGGATACTATTATGCGCGTCTCGTGTTCATAAGAGTAAAAAATTCTGATTGGCTAGTAATGTTAGTTTGGTTGAGAGTGAAAGCTGTACTCCTGTCATACTATTGGTAGGCAAACTCATGTACTTGAAAGTGATATCAACAAGTTTTTTTTAAATGTAGGATTATTTTTTTACGCAGCCAAACGCTGCACGATGCCGGAGAACTTTAAGCCCTGATTTATATAGCAGATGGCATAGGCGTGTTGCCAGTTCATGTTTATGGTCTATGAGAGAGAGCATAAAATGAAACTAATTTTAGTCTGGGAAACTATCAAATTGAACTGTCCACTAAATCTTGAGACATAGGAAAACAAAAAAAAATAGCACAATTTTACCTAACATTAGTTAATAGCTGTATTTCCGATTTGAAATTCAAACATTGACTCCATAAACTTTGATTTGATTTTCTCTGTTTTATGAAAACAATGACATACAATTTCTCTCTCACTAACCCAAAAACACGTGCTAATGTGAGATTAAAATACATATTAAACTTGTATAAAAAATGTAAATATGCAATATGCATTTAAGTAAATATGCATGACAAATGACAAAAGGTTTTACTTTTACGAAAATATTCATAAATGTATTCAGTCCATATTTAACCTGCTGTGAGTACAAGATCACAAGCTCAGATGAGTTTGGTAAGTTTTCATAATTTCAGGTAACTGTGTTTTATATTCTGCATCAGATCAATTCCGTCACACAAAGCATAGATAAATTGTTTGTTTCCTTTAAATACACTACAATCAAAGGTTTGCGGTCAGCAAGTGTTTTTAACGTTTTTGAAAGAAGTCTCTTATGCTCACAAGGCAACATTTATTTGATCAAAAATACAGTAAAGTGTAACAGTAATACTGTAAAAATATAATTACAATTTAAATACTGTTTTTCTATGTAGTTATTCCTGTAATGGCAAAGCTGAGTTTTCAGTGTCATTACTCCAATCTTCAGTGTCACATGATCCTTCAGAAATCATTTTAATATGCTTATTTGGAGCTCAAGAAACTATTCTTAACATTGAAAACCTGAAAAACATTGAAGCTGTTCTGCTAAATATTTTTGTGGAAACCACAATGCATTTTTTCAAGATTTTCTGATAAATAGAAACGTGTACAGTTTAATGTACCCTTGCTAAATAAAAGTATTTCTTTTAAAACAAAAAATATATAAATCTAGATGAGCTGAAAAATAAAATCAGTTCAAACGAATTTATGAAAAAGCTATTAAATCATTATTAATTGAAGTGGATACTAGGTTCATAAATATACCAAATGTTTTGTCACATTAGTTTTGTATCTGACAACAACGAGTAACAAGCAAAGAAAAGCACACATTTTTTTGAGAAAATGGAAGCTCCCAAACATAAATGAACACTTCTGAACACATTCATTAAATTGAACTCCTTGATCCATAAACTTGTTCCAGCCTGTTTTGACCCAGTACTCAAGAACCAGCATGTCCAAAAAACCCATCAGTTGTTTTAAGAGACACTTAGTCAAGACTACGACTTAAAAATCACACTCGTTCAACAAATTGAGAATTTAAAACAATCAAATGAATAAAACGCTCATTCACTTTTTTTTATTCACATGCTGAGACACAATGCGACCTGATCCGAGTGGCTGCAATAAATCTAATTAGGCCTGTGCTGCATACAGATAAAGCTTTGGACATTTCGAGGTGATTCATCACTTACGGTAACTCTGCAGTAACAAATAAACAAGCTCATATGAAACCATCCCACACAACTCATTACACTAGAGCGGTTCCGACTAATGCAATGAACTGTGGATCAAGTATTATACTGAAAGAAATGTGTAACATTGCCAAAGATGCTAAAATGTAATAGTCAAGGTCAAATGCAGTAATTATATGAGCCATTCTTCTCATTTGAAGTTGATTAATTGTTTAGGATAGCGTCATCCCTCCTTTGAATAAAGTTGTATAGCTGCCATCACTGAGTGTAAGGAGATACATGGATGCTCAGCTGGATTAACACTGATCCAGTGGTTACTACACATGAAGTATAGCATTCTAATTGATGTCTAATGACTCCTGTACGTGAGCAGAGGGAGAAGTCAGCCATCTCATTCAAACAATCAATCCCCCAAACTCTCCAGATGACTTCCTGCTATGGGGATCGAGGCATTGTTGCCTGGCAACTGAGCGTTGGTGGAGAGAAAGGATGATACATATCTTTCTAATCTCAAAGGAGTCATATTAGACAGACAGATGGACATTTATAGCTGATATTTTTATACGAACGTTTCACACTCTGAGATGATGTATGGGATTCAGGCTGGTGCACAGAAACGGATTCAGGTCAGTGGTGACTTCACTGATAGGCCAGGTGGGAATTACATCCAAAAAAAATGAGAAAGTTCTTTCAAGTACTCTTGCTTTTTTCTCCCTATAGTCTCAAAGACATCACTGAGGTTGTTTCAGTGCTAATCGCTATATGCCGTGACAGATGAACCCTGCTGAGTACAGATCTGGGCAGCAGAGATGACAACCTTCCTAAATACAAGCAAATCATACCAATTTTCAAATATGATTGTAGTAAATGTCTTAAAAGCGCAATAGAGGGAAATCAAAGGGAGGGGAAATGTGCTGCTGCCGTCAGCAGGCTGTAAACATGTGAAGTCAGCAAATCTCTGTGGCGTCTTCTCTATCATAACCAAGCTCAAGAAGTCACACCACAGATGGCAGAGCTGGAGAGGCTCAGGTTTTTCTCTTTCTTTCTTTTTTGCTGTTACTTTTATCACTGGTCCTTTATTACACACACCCACACACGTTTCAGAGCTACATCTAAAATGGCTTAAAATCCTTTAAAGTTTTATAAGGCAGAACAACAACCATTTATATTTATATGCACCAATATAATATTACATGTGATGCAAATGTCAAAATGTATTATTTTGCATTATGGTAGAAGTATTTTCAGGTCATAACATACTACTGTGCAAGGAACTGCATGAAAATGTCATTATTTTTCGAAAATGTGCCCCTGTAATTATAATTTGTGTGAAAAGAAATATAAGCTGTTGGTCAAGTTGAGTCATGCATTTCAAACACAGTAAAAACTACTTTTTTGAAGTTGTAAATAAAGTGAGTATGTTTATTAAAATACTATTTTGGATGGTCTACTTCAAAATTTCATGTTTAATGTGTTACTTGCTGTTTCTTTCGATTAAAATTACTTTGAATTTACTAGCAATTTCTGAGTGAAGGTCACATCTACATTTTTTTTTTTCAGTGAATGAGCCTGAGTTGGATGAACTACAATGTCATATTTATCCGATTAATACAATAATGATGGTTCATCTTCAAACATGATTATCAAACAAAGGGAGAGTAATTAGTCTGGTGCAGGATTGGCGCTTAGAAAATAGCTCAGAACAGATCTAAAACCAGCTCTGGAAATCTCTCACTAAGAGAGATGCAACTGCTTCACTAAGCGTCAGAAGTCAATGAGGCACTTTCTACCCAAATGTTGATCTCTTGA